TAAAAAGATGGGACGTTGTCAGACTTGAAGGGCTGGTGCTACCCTGGATTGTAAGTTAGGTCCCTTTATAAACAGGCCATAAGGGGCAGGTTTAATACACTGCTTTTATAAGTCGCAGCTTCAGAGTTATTGGATTCCTTAAGTTACCTGCCACAGAGAACTGGTCATCAGTTTGAGCCCTGCAACAGTCAGATTTAGTAGCAAACAGTAAAGAGAGTCCTGTCAGAAAGAGCCCTTTGTCGTAAGGCTTAAGGATCAGTGGTTCACTGGCCTCAGGTGGAAATCTGTCCAGTGCCCAGAGGTAGGAGACGTGGATTTGCTTCCAACTGGAACTAATCAGCTCTGTCGCCTGGAGAAAGTCGCTCGCCTTTGTGCGGATCTCCCCGTTTGGAAAATGGGGACAGTCTCTCTCCAATATACTCAATTTAAGGCTTTTAAAAATATTCTAAAGTGCTGTAAATAATTTGAATGGAATCAATATAACTAATATTTAGGAGTGTTTACTGTGTGTTTGCGCACACACACACACACACACGCACGCACATTCCCCCCCCCCCCATTTATTCCTGGCAGCCACACTGTGAAGTGAGCTAGGTATTATTATCCACTCTGAGCTAATAAAAACTGAAGTTCTGAGGGGTTAAATCCTAACTCAAGATCACACACCTCGTTAAGTGGTCTACCTGATTCTCTCAGCCATGGGGGAAGCCAGCTGGACCCAGCTTGGCCTGCTGGAATGCCTGGCACCCCACTGGCCTCCAAGACCTCGCCATACTCAGCCCTTGGCAGCAGAGTAGGACCCAAGGCAGTCAGAGTCCTTGGTTATTTTAGGCTCTAAATAGCTTTATTTGGGGTTCCAGATGATCCCAGTGTGCTCTAGAGATACCATCATTCTTTGTATATATCATCACGGAGAAACCTTGCTAGATGTCCAGACTAGACCATTTCACCTCTTTGGGCATCAGCTCATGGCTTCTGGACACCGTCAGTGGCTGGGAATGGAAAGTGAAGAGCCCTGCAGGGGCCCATTCACCAGTCCTTTCTAACATCATGGAGGATGACTTTAAATCATAGATGGCAGATCTGTTTGTCTTTTGGGTTTTCAAGCCTAGTGTGTGTTCCTCTATAGGGCTGGTCTGTGAACTCACAGGCAAGCATATTTTGTAACCAGTAACATTTGGTTTTACGTAACCTGGAGGTGGTCAGTAGTTATGCTGTTCTTCAAGGCCAGACCCAAGGGCTGCCTTTCAGACTTTCCTGTGTCTGATGAGTTTGCCTAGGTTACCCTTTGTAGTGGATCCCACATGCATTGAAGGAGTTAAAATTAATGAAGTAGTTTTACGAACCCCTTTAATAAAAGGTAGGGGACAAGCTGGGGACCTCCAGGGACAGCATTTGTTCAAGCTCTATGAATTGAGGTTTGGATATCTCTGGTCTGCCTGACGAAAAGAAATAATATGAATACTATAGCCGTCCATAGAGCAAGAGTCTTGTTACTCCTATCTCTGAAACTTACACCAGGCCTGTAATTCATCTCTGTGCTCTATCTATTTAGATTCCTGACTATTGAGCCAGAGAAGGTGTATTTAATTAGCATTTGAAGAGTTTCCAATGATGCCATCTCAATGATGTCAATTCCACTTGGCTCACCTCTTAGTACGTACCATGGGCCTGAGATAGTTTTTGCCCCTCTGCTGATATTTGATGCTTGTTGAAGGAGGTAATGATCATAGCAGTTGTTCCCTAGGCTAGACGTTCGCTAGGCAGGAGGGTGGTCGTATTTCATACCTGGGCTCACTACAGGCAGTAGCTGGCCCCTTTCCACGAAGCCATTTTACTTCAGTTCTTTTCTAGGAAGATAAAGAACATTAGAAGAGTACTGAGCTATTAGAGGGCAACTGTATAGTTACCAGGACTATTATTATGAAGCTTCTGCTGGAGATGCTTCTCCTGCCTCCCTAGACACAGAGAACTGTGCCTGGGACACACAGAACCCTGGTTTCTGGTGCTGGTCTCTTCCTTGGTGCTGGGTTGGCTGATGGCTGCATGAGATCCATTTGTGGAGTTTATGAAGTACAGATTTGGTGGCCTAGAGCAGGGCCTGGGAATCCATAGTCTCCTAATGTGCACCCTAGTTTGGGAAGCACAGCCCTGGGATTGCCTCATATAATTTTGCAATTACTCTTAAAACAGTAGTCCAGTTTTCTGGCCACATCACATAGTTTTGTGACTCAGATGGCCCTTCCATCATAATGACATGATACAGCCTCCTGTGTCCCACCCTTCACCCATCTGTTTTACCAATATTTAACAGCTGTCTAGGATGGCCTCCAGGAATGGAGGTGAAAAAGATCAAAAGACATATGGTCCCAAGACCAAAGGAATGTTTGCTCTGGTCAGGAGACAGTGGAACAGGAAACCAGCTATTCTAGAACAATAGAGTTGTTTGAACTAAACTGCAAGGAGAGCAGGTGGAATTTGCTGGCAAGTCAGGTAATGCATCCTACAGGAGAAACCCTTCGACTGGAGGCTTGACAAAGGAGAGGGTGGTCGTCAGAAGCCACATGAACATGGGAGAGGGCAGAGGGAACTTTGTTGCAAAGGCTTAGTGGCCACAGAGCCTGCTCCGTGGCAATAACTACATGTTTCTTACTTTTTTTTTTTTTAAAGATTTTATTTATTTGACAGAGAGAGACACAGCGAGAGAGGGAACACAAGCAGGGGAGTGGGAGAGGGAGAAGCAGGCTTCCCGCTGAGCAGGGAGCCCGATGCAGGGCTCGATCCCAGGACTCTGGGATCACAAACTGAGCTGAAGGCAGACGCTTAATGACTGAGCCACCCAGGCGCCCCCCTGCATGTTTCTTACTTTGCCATGGTATGAAACACGAGGCCGTACATGGTGGAAATGAGGACGGGCCTACGGACTAACGCCAGATCGGGAGGGGCTTGTGGATCACATGTGGTGGGACTTTGCCGTAGATGTCATTCGCCCATCTTCCTTGTGGCATATGTGGGTGTTTTCCTGGATGCCTCATTGATCTGTATCTCGTTCAGAGCCTCTCCCATGACAGTACGGCGTGATGAAGTCTCCTAGTCTCGTAATCCCTGGGAAGTGGGAGGAACTAAGTGGCACTTTGTTGTATCCCATGTGGATGCCTGGCCTCAATTCTCAGTTTCTGGCCTTTTATTCCCAAAGCCACAAGTCAGCCTGTTTGTGGGCTTCCTCCCCCATTAAACGGATGTCCTTTTTGAAAGCCACTTGCCTGCCTTGCCACCTTCATCTCTGCTGCTTTCCTCCTTGATCCCTGAGCTCCGCATCTCAAAATGGATCTTTTTCAGGTTTTCAAAGAAACAAAACTCATTTCTACCACAGGGCTTCTGCTCATGCTTTTCCCTCTGCTTGTACCTCTCCATCCCTGCCCCATCTACATGATCCTCCCCACAAAGGCCTCTTTCTGCCTCTGAACAAGCCCACTCCCCTATAGTTTGTGACACTTGATACAATTTTACATTGTTTAATTTGTTTTGGATTGACTTTCTTTTTTCTTGATTGCCAAATATCCCCTTTTGGTTTCATGAAAGCAGTGGCATGGTATGACTCATTCACAACTGGATCATCTCTATGTATTTAGTCATACATATTAAATAATTACTTGCTGGATGAGTGGATAGATGAACAATGGATGGATGGATGGATGGATGGACGGATGGATGGACGGATGGACGGATGGATGGACGGATGGATGGATGGACGGATGGACGGATGGATGGGTGAGCAGATGGAGTTGAAGTCTGTAATTTGAATTCTTAGCAAAATGCAATGTACCATTCTCTTCTCAAGCTGTTCCACTCAGCCAGGCTCCTCAGATTTCCTTTCTCCCTCAGGAACCAGGAAAGCGGCATCTACCCTTCATGCTACAGTCCAAACTCCATTCATTCTTTTAATGAAATCTGTGATATTGGAAGCTGACTCTACTTGGTTCCTCTCTTGAAATATATGAACTATGTGTTTATATTTTCTTTTTTTAAAGATTTTATTTATTTATTTGAGAGAGAGACAGCATGAGAGAGAGAGTGAGCATGAGTGGGGGGGAATGGCAGAGGGAGAAGGAGAAGCAGACCCCCCACTAGTGGGAAACCCGACACTGGGATTGATCCCAGGACCCCAGGATCATGACCTGAGCTGAAGGGAGATGCTTAACTGACTGAGCCACCCAGGTGCCCCTATATTTTCTTAATAACCTTGGAGTGTATGTGCATTGTTTCCAGTTGGATCACTTATCCAAAGTTCATCGAAGCTATAATTTTTTAAAAGACTTTAATTATAAGAAAGGCAAAATTTTTTTTTCATAATAAAGGCAACAAACACATTTCAGAAAAATGTGAGTGTAATGAAGCAAATACGAATCCTGCATGATTTCTCCACCCTGGGTTAAATACTGTAGAATACTATAGCTGTTTTGTCTTTTTTCCATTCACTGCTTTTCCCACACATTCTACAACCTTGTGTGCACATGTTCATACATGTGTAAATATCCTGAATTTTAAACATAACGTGATCCTCACGTCATTTTATAAAGACTTTCAGAGGCTGTTTCATTGTATGATCCCAAGTTCCATTTTTGAGAATCATTGTTGAGCACCAACGGGGTGCTAGGCACTGAGGTATATATTATATACCCCTTTAAATATTTACTGCTTCCTGAGCCAGGAAAGATAATACAAAGAGTGTCTTCTCTCAAGTAGTGATGTTTCTGAGTGGCTATGGTAGGTTGTAGAAGCAAGATGTGAAACTGTAGAATAATTTGAATTCAGGGCAAACGTGAAAGACTGGATCCCCAATATACCCAGTTCAAACACTAGTGCATTGAGCACACAGATGTATTAAGTAAATGTGTTCCTCCTAGACCTCTAGAACAGTGAGCTGGGAAAACCTTGGCAGACCACTCTTCTCTGAATTCCTAGCTGTGAGAATGACTTATGTTTGTATTCTTTTCTAGAGTGACCGTCTTCTTATCAAGGGTGGTAGAATTGTCAACGATGATCAGTCCTTTTATGCTGATATTTACATGGAAGATGGCTTAATAAAGTAAGTATGTAGAACCTTATTTTTTTTTTTTAAGATTTTATTTATTTATTTGACAGAGACACAGCGAGAGAGGGAACACAAGCGGGGGAGTAGGAGAGGGAGAAGCAGGCTTCCCGCTGAGCGGGGAGCCCGATGTGGGGCTCGATCCCAGGACCCTGGGATCATGACCTGAGCCGAAGGCAGACGCTTAATGAGTGAGCCACCCAGGCGCCCCTAGAACCTTATTTTTATCTTTTTGTACTTCCTCTCTTCATTAGAGGCTCAGAAAGAAGCTTGCTTCTTTTTTGCTTCCTAGACCTTTGATTCTCTGTGTTTCATTTCTTCTTCTCCTTAAAAATGAGTCTTTATTTTTTTTAAAGATTTATTTGAGAGACAGAAAGAGAGAGTGCACAGGGGGAGGGGCTGAGGAAGAGGGAGAGAATCCTCAAACAGACTCCCTGCTGAGCGTGAAGCCTGATGTGAGGCTCAATCTCAGGACCCTGAGATCATGACCTGAGCTGAAACCAAGAGTTGTATGCTCGACTGACTGAGCCACCCAGGTGCCCCAAAGTGAATCTTTATTTTAACCCTTCGTTCTGGATGCACAGAATCCCTTAAAATGGGAGCTAGCCTTAATTTATATGAGTCTTGTGAATGAAGTGAGAAATCTGAATTCAATCAACCAAATGATGCTGCGGGCCCCTTTGTGCAAACTATGTGGATGGGCACTCTGTGCATCTTAGAGAAGTGGAAGATGTGACTGCTGTCCTTGAGTTTATTGAAAAAATGTGCACAAAATGACAGCACCCTAAAAATATAAGGCCTTGTGCAGATGATGTCAAAGGAGTTCAAGTGAAGATAAATGCACAGAAAGGAGAAATCCCTTCAGAAGGTAGTGTGGGGCTGGAGAGGGCATTTGAATTGAGCCTTGGCTTAGGTAGAACCTAGGTGGGCTGAGCACAGATGGGACATGCATCTCAGACAAGATTTTCAAATAGATACTTCAGGGATGTACACTGACCTTACAAAATGATTTGTCATTGGGTGCCCGTAAGCAGTGCAGCCGCGTTCCCTTTTTGTGCAGGTTCCCTACGTAGTAACCCATAAAAGAGGATTTGGTCTACACATAGCCTTTCGTCACAGAGAGCCAGATATGCCCCCACGTTGAAAAGATATTGTGTAAGATCAGTGTATCCAATCCATCTTATTAGCCATCCCTGGCCTTGTTCAGTTTGTGTTTACATTATCTAAACTCATTGGCTCATGTGAGATTCTGGCCATAGTGGATCTCTTCGTTATCTTTGAAGACTTGGCTTAGATAGAACTTTCTGTAGGTGGCTATTCCTTGTCAGCCCCCAAATCTAGGCTGGTTTCCCTTCTATGAGCCTTCAAAACCCCTTGTGCTTTTCTCAGTCACAGCGGTTCTGACACTGTTGGGCACCCTGAAGGCAAGCACCCTGTTCTGTTCATCTCCATATCTGAGCACTTAACCCAGTACTTAGCACGGAGAGACTTTTACAAGAGGTACCTTTTAGTGACAATGTAGCATGTGCCGGGCACTGTTAAATGTTTTACATGCCTCATTTCCTTTAATCTGCGAGCAATCCCAGGAAGCAAGTACTATTACTACCTTTTTCTCAGTTGAAGAGAAAGAGGAACACAGGGAGGAAGTAACTTGCTAACGATCAACATATTAATCAAGTACATTGAATGAATGAATGAGTGAATGAATAAATAAACATGTATGAATGAAGATATTCTTGTTTAGTTGCTTTACCTACATAAACACTTCTCTTTTCTTTTTTTAAATTTATTTATTTGTTTATTTATTTATTTGACAGAGAGAGCGAGAGAGGGAACACAAGCAGGGGGAGTGGGAGAGGGAGAAGCAGGCTTCCCGCCGAGCAGGGAGCCTGATGTGGGGCTCCATCCCAGGACCCTGGGATCATGACCTGAGCGGAAGGCAGACGCTTCACGATTGAGCCACCCAGGCGCCCCCCATAAACACTTTTTCATATTAGAAATAGGAAAAATGGAAACAGTAGGCAAGCTAACCAATGTGAAACAAGAATTTCTTCAAAAGATAAGCCCCAAATGATCTTGTATTTTTCTCTTACTAAAATTATTGTATATCGTCAGCTCTCTTTGGAGATAGCAAGTTCCCTCATTTAGAGATTTTCAGGGATGGAAAAAAAAAAAAAGTAATACCTAACAGTCCTTCCTCATTTCAGAGCTCATGACGGGCATCACTAATTGATCACGGCACTTCTCACAGTTGAGCCTTAAATACAGGCTCAGAATCCATCTTCACACAGTGAGTCAGGCATCTACTTCCAGAGATGCCATCTCTATTAGAATAGAGGAGAAGGCTGCTTGCCAGGGATGTCATAGAAGGGATGTAACCGTCAGATGTGTGTGATGGTGGTGGAGAGGAGAGTGGATTAACAGGATCTTCATCCAATTCTGACATTTTCTGTACCTTCAGAAACATTCTGAAATCACAGAGCATAAAAGCAGAAATAATTCCCTCCAGTTGTTACATGGCTGTTTGTCTACCTATGAAGGTTTATGGAGTGTCTGCTGTTTGGAAGGTGGTTGTCTAAGGCACGGGACCCATGCTATGTCACATGATATGGTGGCTGTCATTGGGACCCACATCTTCCCCCAGGACCTTACAGTCTTTTAAGGGGACTGAGATATCTGTATTTATGCAAAGGGCTTAACATTACCAGATATTATCTGTAACAAGGGTTAAAGTAGTAGAGTAGATGAGATTCAGGGGAAAGGAGGGTGCTATGTGGGATTAGCATGGTTATTAATTATCATAGCTGATGCTTACTGAATTTTCCTGTGCCTAGCAGGGTTCTGTGGGCTTAACACATACTAACACTTAATCTACATGACAGATCTATGGAGGAAGTGTTTTTATTACATTTTACAGAGGAAGGAATTAAGACACAGTGAGGTTAAGCAACTTGGCCAAGGTCGTAAAGCTAGTAACTAGCAGAGCCAGGATTGTGAACCCACATAGTCTGCATCCAGGGCAGATCTCTACTCTTAATTATTAGACCTGGCTGTCAGTAGGGATTTGACCAAGGAGGGGAGATGGAAGCCAAGGCTTTAAGGATTCATGTGACCTTGAGTGGCTCCATGGAGAAAAGGCGGGAAGGCATTTCTGTTTCAGACATGGTGTTCCACTAGTTTTCAAAACCGGCGGAAACATGCAAGCAAACACACACAGGGGCTGGGTAACTAACTCTTCATGCCCTGGGTTCTCAGTTTGCCTCAGAGGAAGATCAGGGAGGGAGAAGAATGGGAACATAGTGGCCAGTATCTGGACTCTAATGGAAGTATAATCAGAGGCTGCATTTCTTCCACAGTGTGTTTTGAATTGTGGTGGCTCTGGAATGGCCCAGTGGGGATGTGGTGGAGTTGAACTCTTAGAGATGTCAGGAATACTTTATTTGAGTGGCAGAACTTAGATTTTGGAAGGCCAGTGGTGGACTTCTTACCGTCCTGAGAGGGAGTCTGTCTGGGCTGGCTGTGAACAAATGGGGAAGGTGTTCGTACCACTGGTAGTGGGGTACCGCTTTCCCCAAGTAGGATGTGTTTAACAGTAATGTCGAGGCTTGTGAATCTTAAGTCTCTCCAGAATTAACTGGCCATTTAAACCAAGCAACATTGGACAGTCTGTAAGGTAGCATTTGAGACATCCACAGCCGGGCGTCTGCGTCTTCGGCTTCCTCCTTTGAATCTGCTTTTGGCTGTGATTGACAGATAAGTTATCAGGGAAGGGTGGAATTGGGAGTGAAGACGGACGTACAAAATTACCCCAGCTGATTCCTCTTGTTGGGAAGACAGATGGACTCACTGAAGAGGATAGCTAAGTTCACATACGTATTCTCTAGATGATTCATTACTTCCTTCAGTCTCTCCTAATGGTTCATTATTTTACATTCTCTTAATTCTTTTCCAGATGTTACTTTCCACCCTTCACTCAGATAAAGAACAAAATGAAAGGGATACCAAAACCACCTATTTTTAAGAAAATATTTCTTACACACCCTATATTGTAGACACTGTCCAACCCCTGGGGTTGCAGCACTGAGCCAGGACCCACGTTCCACCAAGCAGCAGATCAGCTGCTTTTGCGTCTATAAAAGTTGTTTTCTGGGTGCACGCCTGTCTTCATTTGTTTCTAGATTGTTAAGCTTGCGACTCACTTGCAAAGACCACTCTAAGCATGTCTAAAATCTTTACAATACTATGTTTGTCTTCAGAGTGGCTCTTTTAAATGACCAGTTGCTTCCCTGTCTCACCAGGCAAATCGGAGACAATCTGATTGTCCCTGGAGGAGTGAAGACCATCGAGGCCAATGGGAAGATGGTGATCCCTGGAGGCATCGATGTCCACACTCACTTCCAGATGCCATACAAGGGAATGACCACAGTGGATGACTTCTTCCAAGGGACGAAGGCTGCCTTAGCTGGGGGCACCACCATGATCAGTGAGTCGCCCGACCCTGCACGCTCCTGGTCCCAACAAGTGACTGGTTTCAGTGACGGCTTAACCCCTGTGCTCTATGGCGATATCTTGTACATGCCTCTCAGTTCAGTGTACAGCTCTTCCTCCTGATGGGACCTGAGGACAGCAGGTGGTAGTGGGGACTCTGACAGCTCCCTGACATTGCCTAGACGAGATTCATGAGGCTCTCAGCCAGGAAAACAGCTGTCCTCTCTTGTCCCTGAGAGCAGGGGCTGTGTGTGCAGTGGGTGGGGATTCAGCAATCATCTGTGGGCCGGACACCGGGATAAGTATGGAGATGGGCCATACGTTATTCAGCACTTCCAGCTCGGGCCTGAGGCAGGATGGGGCAGAGAGCACAGGCAGAGCAGTGTGAATGGGGTTCAGCATCCCCGAGCGGGGAAGGTAATGGGGACCTGCCCTGCTTGAAACTCGTGGGCTTCAGTGGCATTGACTGGTACCTGGTCTGGTACCATTGACTGGTACCTCTGTCTCTTGACCAATTCCTATCTGAAGATGAGGCAAGCGGTGGGGCTGGTTTCCTTTGTTTTTTTGTTTCTGTTTTCTTTCTTTCTTTCTCTTTTTTTTTTCTGGGAACTATTGCAATTCCAGAGAAACCTAGGGAGTTGCATGCCATTGGATTACGGAACAGATAGCATTCCAGGGCAGTCCTTCCTGTCCCAAAGGAATCCCAAGGAATTGGGTTCGATCCCAGTCCCGGCACTAAGCTTGGTCAGCAAGAGCACTGTTTATTTTACCACTGTATACACCCGTCCACGAACACAGAACAGCCTGAGCTGTGGAGTTGCTCCTTGTCTTTTGCCTCCTTTTGACGGGAGCACTAGCAAGGTTGAGCTCCAGCAAGTTGGGTGTGGAAGCCCAGGAAAATTGCATCAAGGCCGTAAAAGGTGCAATTCAGGGAGACCAAAGCTTTTCCCCAGCCAAAGGGAGGAAGCCAGCTGACTTCTCAGCAGCTGCCTGCCCACAGAAGCCCTGATGTAGGTCCAGACGTCAGTGATGCGGCTCCTTGCGTCTGCTTTCTGATAAGCACACGTGGGCTGCCTGCGGTAGGAGGCCGAGGAAGTGAGTGATCTCGGTTTGGCTCTCTGCCTTCCGGGCAGAGAGTTGGACCTGTTCAGTGTCCGGGGAGTGTGTGTTGTGCTTGGTCCTCCAGGTCAGGGAAGGAGCTAGAGGGAAGGCAGAGTTGCAGGTGACGTGAAAACCATACCAAGAAACCCAAAGCTGTACATGTCCTTCATAGATAATTTAAGACCCTGGATATGCAGCAAGAGAAGGAAGCCCAGAAAGCCCACATCCCTGTTACAGTTTGGCTGTAGTTTCCTTCCTGTGAAGCAGAAACAGGATCGCAATAGACGTACTGTGTCTTAGTGGTGTTTTAGTGTATCATTTCACTAAATAATCTAGGCATGGATGTCTTTCCTTTCATTTCTTTCCTTTTTTTTTTTTTAAAGATTTTATTTATTTATTTGACAGAGAGAGATACAGCGAGATACAGCAAGAGAAGGAACACAAGCAGGGGGAGTGGGAGAGGGAGAAGCAGGTTTCCCGCAGAGCAGGGAGCCCGACGTGGGGCTCGATCCCAGGACCCGGGGATCGTGACCTGAGTCGAAGGCAGACGCTTAACGACTGAGCCACCCAGGCGCCCCTCCATTCATTTATTTTCATTCCACTACAGCATTTAAAATGGGTGCCTAATAATCCATCTTATGAAGGTGTATTTATTATTTAGCCAAACTTTCTATTGTTAAAGATTTTGATGGTTTCCAGTTTTTCACTTAAGTAAACATATAAATAATGTTTGCAGTGGCAACATCTTCAGCACCCACATTTTGCAAACAGCGTGTTTATTTCCTTGGGAATAATTCTTAGGCACAGGAATAATCATCGAGTTAAGGTATGAAAAATATCAAGATTTTTTAATGTGTATTTCAGAATCGTTCATAGGAACGTTGTACCAATTTGCACTTCCCCTCAGCTGTCTTACCCTCCCCAAATGTGAATGTCATCATATTGAACAGTGCTGCCCACGGTTGCAGGTACTGCAGGAGTAGATTGGGCCTCAAAAGAAAACATATTCTTTCATCTTTTTTTTAAAGATTTTATTTATTTATTCTAGAGAGAGAGAGGGAGAAAGCAGGGGGAGGAGCAGCGGGAGAGGGACAACCAGACTCCGAGCTGAGCCCACTGCAGGGCTCCATCTCAGGACCCCA